GGCCTGAAATTGAACATCATCTTCAATTCACTGTCAAAAGTTCAGTCAGTCAGGATAGTAGAAACATTTATGCAGATTATCTTGATATCTTGAAGAGAACTGGGGGCACCAGAATAATATGACGCTAGTTTAGAGACTCTGGTGTGTTTCCAGCCAACCCATAACAGATACCAGCAGCTATAACCACTGTAAAGGCAGAATATGTCAGTGCTATAACCCATTTGTATACAGCAAAGTGAGGGAGGATACATTCAGGATACTTAGTTCTAAGAAAATGTATAAAATAGTTTTACATATTGCAAGAATAGCATCTTTTGGATGTGAATATATAATATTAATTAAAATCCAAAAGTTTAGCAAGGTGCATCTGAAGCAGTCTGATTCTTGAATGGCCTTGAAATTAAAGGGAGGAAGCAGTTGATGAATTCATACTGTCCTTTTTTACTGCAGAAATTCCAATAAGTTTAGAGAAATTGGCCTAATGACTCAATGAATAGCACATTTCCTACTTCATCTGGCAATGAATATGTAACTCATTGATGTATCAGGTCCCCTAAAGTATTTTATATATTTTTTATTTAAAGCCCCTTAAGTAAAAGTAAAATGCCAACATCATTTGCTACTCTACTACTGATCATGAGTCTCCACTGACTCCTGATAATATCCTTAGAAGATATTTTCACCATAGATTGAGTTAAGGTAGAGTATTACTTTTTTCATTCTGGATACTGTGTGTCTTTGGATGAGCTCTCAGTCCCTTTGAAGCTAAGACTAGACAGAGATTTAATTTTGCAATTTTAAGAGTAAAATAGGGTATTGATCACCAGCTTAGCATAGGACATTTAACAATTAACAGGGGACTGTATATTTATAGGTAACTAACCTCTCCTAAAAGTTATACTACTTTTATTACTTACTGCAGTTAGAGTCATATATGCAGTTCCTAACTATTCTATTTCTGTTTCACAGAAAGTCATGTATATGGTAATTTTAAAGAATTAGCTTCTTTTAAACAGTAAAAAAAAAGTTTTACTGCAAAAAAAAATTTAAAACTTCAGAATTGTAATTACCACATAAACACTGCAAATTACTTGGGTTGTCTAAATAAAAAGCAGAAGGACTATGTCATCTATCTTAAGTACCTGGGCTACTGTATGGCAAATGCAATTTTACTGCAGGTAAATGTGTACAGTTTTCAGAATAGATTCAGTGTTGTAATAAATCTATATGCAAAGGTTCAAGAGAGAAAATATAAATTACACTAAATGGAAGAACGATACAGCATAAAGACTTAAAAAAGGCCTCCAGCACCTCAATCAGCTATCTAATCGGTTTCATTTTCCCTGCCTACAATTCTCCATGCAGTTTCAAATGTCTGATATTTATCTTCACTTCTTCACTTAAGCTCTTTCAACCAATGTTTGGGAAATAGGTAATTCACACATTTCTAAGGACTGAACACCTCATGAGCAAACAGATTCCACCTGAAAATATTTAATTATTCATCAAGTACAGTTTTCTCCAGTTTAGGAAAGCGTTCAAAATGTTAACACAGATGAGGAAAATTACAAGCATAAGGGATACATTTTCCTTACTAATGTATTCTGAGCAAGACCTGAGTAGAATTTGGAGTCAGCAAAGCTTTGTAAGGCAGAGCACGGCAGAGACACAGATGCCTAGGAATTTCCCTCTATACATTGAATGGCTGTGCTGCTTATCATAGAGCAAAAATTCATTCCAGCCCAGTGCAATGTCAAGCAGATTTGTCAGAAAACTTCTTGAGCTAAAATGCTAAGTGGTGGCTTCTGATACTGCCCTTACCTTAAACCTCAGTGAAAGGAATTATGGTTAGCCCACTTTACCTCATGAATGAGATGGTAATTCATAAAAAACCAGGCCTTCCTCCAGCTGTTCAGTCCAAAGAGTTAAGAGGCCAGGGTGAAACTGTCAATTTATCATATTTTGACAGATATCGCACGTGGCAGTTGCACTCACACTTAAGTCTTTCTGTCAGACTTTTCTTCTTATTTAATGAGAGAAGAAAAATGCAAATACTTGCTGAATAGCATTCCCATAATTTATCATTGGTGCTTCCTTCAACAATGTGATAGGGCCTCCAATACCCAGAGACAAGATGAAGAGGGTTTTTTGAGATAAAGGGTGTACTGGAAAACAGTTTTACAGTGAAATATAACTTTAATCAACATTTATTAGGCATTTGAGAATTGATGGTATTGCTAGAACAAAATGTTAAAAGTTTAACATCAAAAATATTGGGAACCACTCATAACAGAATGTTTTTTCTACCCATGCAATCACAGAAATGCAGAAAAAGGAAATACTTTTCAGGTGTGCAAAATAGCATCTCCTGTATTTTAGTCTCTTGCCCATTGTCATTACTCACTGCTACTTGAGAAAAGACAAATGCTTTGCAGTAGGATTGTAAATCAATTGTTAGTCTGAGAGACGAGATAACCGTGGACACATAGTAATTACAAGGGAAAATCTCGGAGAGCAGACCTGTATCCTGTTTAGGAAAGCTGAAAATGTTTATGTCTTCAACTCATTTGCATTCCAAGTTATCAGTGGCAATAATGACAAAGACCTTAGTGACTTAAAGGAAGTAATAACATAAAATCCAAGGCCTGGTCTAATTTTCTCTTTCCGCATACATTCCCCCCACCTCAGTTTTCTGCTTAATAGGTTTGGTTATTGCTCCAAGAAACAGTTGTCTATAAAACTAATGCATCTTTGGCTTGCTTCTGCCATTTGTTCCTTACAAAACGTTGGGTTACAGGGGGGAGGACCCTCAGCTTAGCAGAACTAAATAAGTATTTTTTTCTTCTGCAAATATTTTTTCAGTTACCTTAACATTTTGCTTCCTTTCCCAGTAGAAAGTAGTTCTTTCACTTCCTCACTTTCATTTCGTATCAGACCAAAATAGAAGTTTCAACTGTGGCATTGGCAGGTCATTTTTAGAAACAATGAATTTGTGATTCAATATCATCTTCATTATACCTATTGTCAATACTTACTGCTGTTTTTCACAAACTTTTCTTTGTATACTCCAATAAACTCTTCGCACATCTCTACTAAAGAAACATTTCCATATCATATTCTAATGCCTTTCAAATAAAGAACTGTTGGCAATGCCCTTCTTCAGTTCAAAAGTAGATTATCAGGTGAGGAAACAGGAGGCTCTCTCTGTCTCAAGACATGAGTCTGTCCCAGACTTCTCAAGTGACCATGGGGACATCATCTATGATGGATAGGGATCTGTCACTAGGGCTATGTCCATATCAGTCTTCTGTGATTTCTGTGACAAGAATTTCTTTATGCTGACTCTGTTTTCTACTTTTAAACACAGGTATGGCTCACCTGCCTTTGAAAAATACAGATAAGCAATGCAGTGTGAATACCCAAGCAAAATATTTTAATTCTTTGTTTCTTGCAATGTTTGCTTTTCTGGCACTTTACTAGTGCTTTATCTACATGGTTATCCATCACCCAGGGGTAGCTGACATGCACTTTTCTCAGAAATGAGCAAAAAATCTTCTTGGATATCTGTTTCTTTCAGAGGTAAGATATACATTTGGTAGAAATACAGCCCAGGGAAAAATCCCTTTTATTGGTGGAAATACTGTTCTTTATGGAAGAAGTTTGTGAGGGTTTTGTTTATGATATAAACTCAGTTGAAGCAGTATAAGGGAAGCATACCTTTTTGAGTAGGAGTGGCTATTTAAAACACATTTTAAGGGTTTTGAATTTTAAAACTCTTCTATAAAAACAGACAAGCAGTGAAGAATCTGAAATGCATGTTTGTTGGAGAACCTAAGAGTTCTCATGAGGGGCTGTCCTTAAGTCTCACTTGTGACCATCATATGGCAGCAGGATACAGAGACATTAATTTTAGGCTGATCAATGCTACTATAGCAGTCCATCTATGACCAAACACTTTAAATATACCGGTGATCTGGTAAATCCATTAACCTGTTAATTGTTTAAGCCAGTCAATATTAATGGGGTTTTCCTGTTAATGGGACCTAAGCTGCCTTGCACTGTGTAGCCTTCACAGCACTAGTGGGCAGTACCTTGAGCATTTCCAAGCCACAGAGGCAGGGTCTTGTAGCAGTTTTCTATTGATGGAAATCTTTTTGCCAGGGGCAGCAACAAAGATCCTGTCTAATAGCTCTCTTAGTGAATTAAAAGTCTTGTGAATTTCAGTTTCTTATGTACATTTTTTCTCTCTTGCCTTCCAGTCCCTTCAAGTTTCTTCAGAAGAAGTCTGGTTCTTTCATCTGGAAAAAGGAGAAACATCTGTTCATGTTACATAAACAAAAAGTCTCAAGCAGTTGGAAATACAACAGGATGTTGATTACTGACTTTACTTCCAGAAATCAAATAATATGGCATCTTGCTGTAAACTCACAGGTCACTAACTCCCACTCAGAACATACTGAACAATGGCTGAGTCTAACTCAAGGTATTCTTTAAATTAGGTAATTTGCCATGGCATGTGAATATTTTTCATAAAGCCTAGCTCCTATTTTCAAGTTACCATGGTCAAAAGTCAAGATTTCTTTAATCTAAAAATATGTTTTCTCACCAGAACTGCAGAGCAAGTAAGAGCAACCGCATCTCTGTTGTTCCTTTAAAAATAGTGATCTTTTATGAATCTTATAATGTCATCATTTATGGAAACACTTTAAGGATTTTAGATCTCATGGGCCTGAATCAACAAACACAATTATTTTATATAAAGCTCATTAAACAGAATAACAGAATAACATTAAACAGAACAATAGTTATTCTTTTTATTATTTCAGCAAGCAGTGGAATTCTGTGAAAGTGTTATCTACCTTTAATAACACCTTAATTTTCCTTGTACAATTATATCAATTTTCAAATATTACTGTTAAGAAAAAATGGCAAGTGGATTTGATAATAAAAATAGTACTATAGCTGAGCTATATGATCATCTGTCACATACTTACTGTATAGCAATGCCAAGAAGAAATCTTAAGGGAAATGAGTGAATAGTTTGGGGGCAGGGAAAATGCGTCTCTTTCTAAGGACAGAGAGAAAAAATATATCATCAAAGCTAGAATAATTTTTAATTTTTATTCCAAACAGTCATTGTAAGGAGTATTACAATTATGCTCTTATTATCTTTCATGTAAAAAGCAATGTAATATATACTAACTACACAGATTTTTGAAGATTCATTCTACCAGTTGTATACCTCTATAACAAAATGAGAAATGAAGCTCGATTCAAGAACACTTGATATCAAAGTATAACAAATTAGAATCAGAAACAAAATATGTCATATTTTGCATTCTCAGACAAATTATCTACTATTTTGCAGCACTGAAAAGTAGGGCTGTGCGGCAGATTTTCTAAATCTCAGATTTCACAATTCTGAAAAAAACAGATAAATTTCCTTGCAAGTCTTGTCAAGAGCAAATCCAAACCAGATAGAAATTATGTGCATTTTTATTATATGTCAATTTAGATCCTATATTTTTTCAGAAATTTTGTTTAGCATATCGTACCTCACATTTGGAGTCACTTTCTTATAGGTTTCTCTAAGAGTATCAGCCTGTGATGTAAAGAATGTTTAGATATAGTGTTAATTTTCATTTGTATGCTTATATGATTTTATATTAATTTTAAAAAAGGAAGAAAAGCAGAAAGCATGTATTGTTTACCTGGGAACAATCCTGTAGATTGTTCTTGAATAACATCTAGAACATAATGAGGGAAAGATAAGAGAACATATTTCCTAGAGAAATTAGAATGTAGTAAGATAAAGATATTAAGAAATCTCATCTAATAGAAGTAAAGATTGTTTTCATTGTAATTCTAGAATAAAATTAAAGATTATCTATTTTAATTACAACTCTCCTTTGAAAAACAAAAATAAATCCTGTTTATTGTTTTCTTTGTTTATTACCACCCACCAATTGATTTCTCCACTGAAAAATGCTCATTCCACATACAAAATCATATTTCCTAACTTCAAAGACTCTTTATATCCAGTCATTTTTTTGGTCCAAATATTGCTGTTATTAGTGCAGATACACATCAAAGGGTGAACAACACTTGAGAAAATCTCATAAAGCTCATCAGAAAAAACTTCTGTGAATGTAGTGATATTGGCTTTACACATCTTACATCAACACTCATTTAATTTCATTCTGTACACAAGAGCAGTAACCTTGAGTGGGAAAATCAGACAATGCTCAATTCCAAATCTAAGTCATGAGTATAGTATTTTTTTTTCTGTCAACTACAGACTCAAAAAAAAAAAAAAAAAAAGAAATTCCTGGTCCTAATTTGGTTAAAAAAATGAAAATAATCCAATTAGCAATACTGTTAAGGGAAAAGACATGTTGAAACCTGGTTCAGTTTCAACTTTATTGGTTTTTTGGCTTTTTGTTTGTCTTTTTCAAGCAAAAGACTAACCATTCATTTCTGAGAATATAGCTTTGCAAATTCATTAAACAAGGAAAAAACTGGTGCTTTTAAATGCGTGAGCATGACATTTGGTGCACACTTTCTGTAAACTCTAGCACACTGTCAAACTGGGTGACCTTTCATGAGCACTGATGCAAGACGGGCTTCTTCCATAAAAAGAAGGTTATTCAGTATATTTTAAAAAATTCTGTTTAAATATTGCCAAACTCAATTCAATTAAAATAGTTCTTATAATTAGAAGCTGTATTCCTTCAAAAGGCAGAACTTTAATATATTATTTGGATGACTCATGAGAACAACACCATTACATATAAATGCAGTAGTGGATCTTTTACAGCCTAATGTTCTTGACTGGTTTTTGAGATAATTGAGTTTGCAGTCAACTTCAGTCTTGATCTCACTTGAAAAATTACCACAACTGTTCAGAACTAGTTAGATAAAAGATATGTTAATTTTCTCATTAAAGTTTGCAATATTATCCAGAATATCTAAAAACTAGTAATAACGTTTTTAAAAGTAGTATCAAATTTCTTTTTTCTGCTATATTTTAAAACCATTTTTCCTGGTTTTGGTTTAAACATTATAAGAGATTAATTCTAGAGATTAATTTCTCACCAATGATTCAGACGGAACACTTCTGGAGTAAAAGAAGACTAAAGAGGAAGGATGTATTTAATTTGAACTTTAAGTGAACTGGACTGCTGGCCTTTATAGACAAAAATCTTGCAAGTGAACTTTTAAACTGAAGATTGGGGAAAAGCTGAGATGTATAAAAGAGTATGTCTTTCACACAGAACACCAAACATGACTTGTTTGGTGTATGACTTGTGAAAGATAAGAAACAGTCCATTAAGAAATGACAGAATGCCATTTAAATGGGATGATCAGGGAACCAAAACATGATTTTGCAGCTTTGCTAAAAATCTAGGAAATAAGACAGCAGAAAAGGAAAGCTGAGAATGAATAAGCATGCTGGAAACTTGGTGGAATAAAAACACTGTCACTCAGAAATAATCAAAGTACAAGAAAATTGAGAGAGTGGTCTGTACTGGTGATGGAACCCTGTATCTTTTAAAGGCTGTTCCTATTATGACATGAGGACAGAGTGTATCTTTGTGCTTATTTATACATCTAATCACATCTGAGGTTAAAATGAGAGAAGGGCTACAAGATACAGAGTGGCTGCTGGATGAGAAAGAAGTAAATTGGGACTCTTTAAATTGGACAAGTAACAACAGAGTTTAGCACAGTCAGAAGAGGTAGGAAGCACATCATAGGATGGACCAACTGTTTGTGCCCTCTTCAAGGACAAGAACTGAGAGCTAGCAGCCAGGTTCAAATCTAGCAGAAAGATTAAATGCTTCATGCAACAGGATGTTAGATAGAGAATATATAGGCTCATGTTCACAGAAATAAATTAATCAGAGCTACTGCGTGGATACAGATTACAAGGTAATCAATCCAGATGACTATTAAATGAAACATGCCTGCCTAATCTTACTTTTCCTCTCTGAGATGCTCATGACCTCAGTTAAAATACACTGTTAAAACATTCTAACAGTGGGACAGAGGGACGTGATCATTTGGTGCAGTCTGGTAGAGCTATTTTTCCAATTGTGATTTGAGGAACATTGTATTCACAATTAAGTACTTGCTATGTATTCTTCATAATTCTCTTCACAGAGAGTATTGCCTCTGCTTAGCAGATATGGTTCAGACCTGAAGGGGTAAAAAGTTAAACCCCATGAAGTCTGCTTTTAAGCTCCAATTCAAGTATGACTGCAAATATATGTGCATACATTACTATAAGCAAAAAATTGGTCCCAGAAGGAACAGATGTGCCCACAATGAGAAAAGAAATAAGTTTGTGCACCTCTGGCATGTGTAATTTTTTTAAAGAAAGTCTTATTCTGTTGACATTTTGATCTGTTTCTCTTCCTCTGAAACCTGCTCCATGACAGCAAAGAGGGTGAAAAATAAACCAGTCAGAAATAAATGTCATTTTCATTTGTACTAAAATTAATTTATTATCACTAGATATAAGAAAACTGGAATATAGAACCAAGTGACTGTACTTGTCTTCACTTTTCCTGAACCTATTTAACCTACACCTGATTTAGCAAAATCAGTGCTTATTACACTATTGGACATTCCACACAATATCTCAGATCTTTGAAGGATATAAAGGAAATTTGATCCTCTGAAGGCTGTATGAATCAGAAGAAAGTTGTTAAAATCTTCTCTTTTTAAAAAAAACCAAAAAGTTGTAATCTATTAGGCTCATGCAAAATTATTTTTCTCTTATTTTAGGATTAAATACAGACAGCAATGATACAACAATTATCCTGTCAGAGATTGATTGTTTAATTTTACTGACTATATAAGCGACTTCCATAAAGGAGTCGCTAAAAGAGACATCAAGCATGCTTTTTATAGTCTCTAGATCCCATATATTTAGGTAAATAGTTTTATCTATAAGGGTTGCAGAAGCACTAAATTTTGACACCAAATATTATTATAGTCACAAGACAAAACAATGTTGTTGTTTAGCCCCACACAGCAACCAAGGCCCATTCAGCTGCTCACACCCTCCCCTACCAGTGGGGCTGGGGAGAGAATCAGAAAGTGAAAAGTTTGAGAACTTGTGGGTTGAGATAATGGCAGTGAACTGACAGGTAACAGCAGATAACTAACAGTTTAATAGGGAAAGCAACATCCATACACAAGCGAAGCAAATCAAGGAATTCACTGCTTCCCATGAGTAGGCACATGTTCAATCATCTCTAGGAGAACAGCACATGTAATGCTTAATTAGGAAGACAAGATCACTCCAAATGTCCTCCTTTTTGGTCCTCCTTCCCCCCACTTTATATGCTGAGCATGATGTCACATGAGCTGGAATAGCCCTTTGGTAGTTTGTGTCACCAGTCCTGGCTGTGTCTCCTCCCAGCCCTCCATGCACCCATGCCAGCCCCCTCAACAATGTGCCAGTACAAAAAGCAGAAAAGGTCTTGGCTCTGTCTAAGCCTTGCTCAGCAATAACAAAAACATCTCTATCATCAACCCTGTGTTCAGCAAAAACCCAAACCATAGCACCATCCCTACCAGTGCAGAGAAAACTAACTCTATGACAGTCAAAACCAGAGCAAACACAAGAATCTCAAGGATCAAAATGATCCAACTGGAAGACTGGCAGCTGAGGTTACATCCCATCTCTTCCATTTCCTTTATATTCCTTACTTGATGTAAAAGGGTGTGTAGTCACAAGCCACAAGGTATCAACTTCAAGCTGTCAAGAAAATATGCACATGAAAATAAAAACATTAGGTGGTCAAAGGGTGAAAGAAAGTGATATATCAATTTTTTGGTCCTGAAGCTCCACCTGGAAAGTCCATATCTGCCACAATCCTGAAAGGTGGAGGAAGACTACAGAGTTTTGAAAGGGTCATTTGGAAATATCAAGTAACATGAGAAACATCCTCACTGCATGTATATCTGATACTGTTCTGCCTCTTTGAGTTTGCAACACCAGCAAAGAATATTCATTAGTCTCCCTGAGACACCTTGAGGTGTACTAGTGTTTCCTGAATAACTGTCTTCAATATTCCAGTTACTGAAGCATTAAAACAAAAAAAAAAAAAAAAAATTAAACCAAAACCTTCTAAAACACAACCTCATACAGCCAGGCCACCAAGCTAGCAAATAATACATCCTTCCACACCATGACTTCAGATACTTTGTGTCAATTGTCTCATTTACATGAAATCCAAACTATAACCCCCATCTTCTTTTTAGTTTGACTCCATCAATATTTCCTGCTTGCATGTTAGTTATCCCACTTATTATTTTCTCAGACTTTTCCTGAGTCCTTCCTTATAGGCATCCTTAAATTTTCCTTGCATCTGCCATTCATAGTTACTGAGACTTTGATACAATCACGACTTTTATACTGAGACTTTGATACAATCTTCTGAATTTCAAAGAAAAATAATAACTCCAGCACAGTAAGTGCCAAGCTTTCCATCACAGGTCCAGCTACCCATACACCCCTGGTATGTTTTGATCATCATAAGCCAGTTAGTGTTGGTTTAACATCTATTCCCCTAGAAAACTATTTCTGAAGACACTCCTGAAAGCCAAGAGAAAGTGGTAGAACACTATGAATAGGAGGATTAAGAGGGGGCACTGAAATACAAACTGTACTAATAATGATAAAAATCAAAATAATGCAATGCTGGCTTTGACACTGAGGTATTAAAAGGAGTAAATTCCCTCTAAGTCTCTATAACAGGGCAAATGCATCAACATAATCTTGC